TTGCAATAGTGAAAGATTCTATGGGCAAAATATTGAATGATGCAGGAAACATCAAAAGAAGAAGGAAGGAATACACAGAGTCACTGTACCAGAAAGAACTGTTCATCCATTTCAGAAGGTGGCATATGATCAAGAACCAATGGTACTGAAAGAAGAAGTCAAAGTTGCACTGAAGAATGGCAAAAAAACAAGGCTCCAGGAACTGACAGAATACCCATTGAGAGGTTTCAACAAACAGATGCCTGCTGAAGGCATTTGGCTATGCCAAGAGATTTGGAAGACAGCTAACTGGCCAAGTGACTGGAAGAGATCCATTATTTGTACCCATTCCAAACAAAGGTGTTCCCACAGAATGTGGAAATTAGCAAACAAATATCATTAATATCGGGAGCTCTGGTAGCATAGTGGCTAAGGCACTTGACTGCTAACCAGAAGGCTGGCGGTTCAAACCCACCAGCCACTCCTCGGAAGGAAGGTTGGGCAATCCTACTTCCGTAGTGATACTGCCACGGAAACCCAAGGAGGGGTCGCTATGAGTCAGGGCTGACTCGACGGCACATAACAACAACAACATCATTAATATCACATGCAAGTAAAATCTTACCAAAGACAATTAAAAACAGTTGCAGCAGTATATTGACAAGGAACTTTCAGAAATGCAAGCTGGATTCAGAAGAGGACATGGAACAAGGGATATCACTGCTGATGTCAGATGGATCTTGTTGTTGTTGTTGTTGTTGTTAAGTGCTGTCAAGTCAAACTGACTCAAAGCGACCCCTCCTTGGGTTTCTGAGGCAATATCACTACAGAAGTAGATTGCCCAACCTTCCTTTTGAGGAGTGGCTGGTGGGTTTGAACCGCCAGCCTTCTGGTTAGCAGCCAAGTGCCTTAGCCACTATGCTACCAGAGCTCCCCAGATGGATCTTAGCTGAAAGCATAGGATACGAGAAAGATATTTACTTATGTTTTATTGACTATGCAAAACCATTTGTGTGGATCATAACAAACTAGGGATACTACTGAGAAGAGCAGGAATTCCTGAACATTTGATTGTGTTCATGAGGAACCTGCACATAGATCAGGAGGCTGTCGTTGGAACAGAACAAGGGGATACCGCATGGTTCAAAATCAAGTAAGGGAGTGCATCAAGATTGTACCCTTTTACCATAATTATTCAACTTGTACGCTGAGCAAATAATCCCAGAAGCTGGATTATATGAAGAAGAACATGGCATCAAGATTGGAGGAAGACTCATTAACAACCTGCCATACATACAAGGATGACACACCTTTGCTTGCTGAAAGTGAGGATGACTTGAAGCACTTACTTATGAAGATTAAAGACTACACTCTGCAGTATGGATTACACCTCAGTATAAAGAAAACAAAAATCCTCACCACTGGTCCAATAAATAGCTTCACGAAAAATGGAGAAAAGACTGGAGTTGTCAAGGATTTCATATTACTTGATTCTACAATCAACAACAATGGAAGCACCAGTCAAGACATCAGACAATGTATTGCATTGGGCAAATCTACTGCAAAAGACTTCTTTCAAGTGATGAAGAGCAAAGATGTCTCTCTTTGAAGACTAAGATGCACCTAATCCAAGCCAAGGTATTTTCAATCATTTCTTTTGCCTGTGAGAGCTAGACAATGAATAAGGAAGACCAAAGAAGAGTTGATGCTTTTGAGTTGTGATGCTGGAAAAGAATGCTAAGAGAACCATGGTCTGCTAAAAGGACTAACAAATTTGTCCTGGAAGAAGTGCAGCTGGAATGCTCCTTGGAAGTGAGATTTACTAGACTTTGTCTCATCCACTTTGGTCATGCTGTCAGAAGGAACCATTCCCTGGAGAAGGCTATCATGCTTGGTAAAGTGGAGGGTCAATGAAGAAAGGGAATGATCTCAACAAGATGGATTGACATAGTGGCTGCAATGATGGGCTCAGGAATAGCAGGATCGTGAGGATGGCACAGGACCAGGCATTGTTTTGTTCTGCTGTGCGTAGGGTCGCTATGAGTTGGAGATGACTCGACAGCACCTACCAACAACAACAAGGTTTTGTTTATGGATAGGAAGATTAAATATTTTGAAAATGTCAATAATGACCAAAGCAATCTACACATTCAGTGCAATCAGGATACAGATACCATCAACATTTCTTAAGTATATGGAAAAACCAATTATCAACTTCATATGGAAAGGAAAGAGACCTCAGATAAGCAAAGCACAGCTGAAGAAGAAAAACAAAGGAGGAGGTCTCACATTCTCAGATCTCAAAGCCTACTATACAGCCACAGTAGTGAAAACAGAGTGGTACTGGTACAGTGATAGACAGATACACCAATGGAACAGAACTGAAAACTTAGAAATAGATCCACCCATCTATGGACAGCTGATCTCTGACAAAGGACCAAAACCCATTAAATGGGGAATATATAGCCTCTTTAATAAACGGTGTCCGCAAAACTGGGTATCAACCTGCAGAAAAATGAAACAAGACCCATATCTCACCTCATACACAAAAACAAACTAAAGCTGGATCAAAGATGTAAATATAAAACGTAAACTATCAAAGATAGCTTAGGGGCTAATCTAGGGTTCCTAATTTACAGCATAAACAGACTATCAAAAATAACCCAGGATGCACAGGCAGTGGAAGAGAAGCTAGATGATGGGGACCTTTTAAAAATTAAATTCTTATGTGCATTGAAAGAGTTCTCAAAACAAGTAAACAGAGAAAATTACAGATTGGGAGAAAGTATTTGCCTATGACATATCTGACAAAGGACTTACCTTCAAAATTTATAGAAAACATCAACACTTCAATGCCAAAAAGACAAACAATCCAAAAAAATGGGCAAGGGACATGAACAGACACTTTACTAAAGATGATATACTGGTGGCCAACAAACACATGAGGAAATGCTCATGATCATCAGCCATTAAAGAAATGCAAATCAAAACAAAGGTGAGGTATCATCTCGCCCCAGCAATAACAGCAAAGTTCAAAAAGACAGAAAATAACAAATGCTGGTGAGGTTGTGGAGAGACTGGAACTGTCATACACTGCTGGTGGGACTGTAAAATGGTACAACCATTGTGGAAAATGGTATGACATTTCCTTAAAAAACTGAAAATGGAAATACCATTTGAACTGGCAATTCCATCACTAGTAACATATACTAAAGAGGTGAGAGACAGGACATCAACAGGCATATGCACACCTGTGTTCATCACAGCACAATTCACTATAGCAAAGAGATGCAAACAACCTAAATGCCCATCAAAAGATGAATGGATAACCAAATTATGGTACATTCACACAATGGAATACTATACTACATTAAAGAATAATGAAGAATATGGGAATCACCTCACAACACTGATGAATCTGGAGGATGTTATGCTGGAGAAATAAGTCAACCGCAGAAGGACAAATACTGTATGAGCTTATGACTGTAAAATGTCAAGAAAGGGTTTGCTTAGGGAAGGGAACCCACTGTAGAGATTGCCAGGGATAAGAGGGAAGGGGAGGAAAAATTTGGGGCTAGTTGGGGGCCACATGCTGATTTGGGTTAAAGGAGGGATGGTATGGAAAGTCTGTGACCAGCATGATAACACTGGAGAAAGGGAGGACACTAAAGCATGCACATAAGATATAGACAACAGAGGCAAATACTAGTATATGCACAATACTGTACCACTAACACCAAACACCAGGCTAAGATAAAAGTACAGACAACTGAGAAGATCAGATAGGGGTCAGCAAACAGGAATGTACCCTAGACCGATGATAGATTTAGCTGCCAACAATCTTGCATAGGTACTAGTGATACAAAATAACCACAATCATTACAGAAACAACAGAAGACAGAGTTGGAGTAATCCCTCAGAGACAACCAAACACCTTGGGAGAGAGAACCACTGGGCCTGCCAACTCAGGACCACAATATTAGGGGACACCAGGCTCAGCTGCACAACATAGTACATAAAAATCTTGTTCTATAATCTACTTTGATGAGTAGTGACTGGGGTCTTAAAAGCTTTTGAGCGGCCATCTAAGATGCAGTCTTTTCTTGTCTAAAGTGAAGAAGAGTGAAGAAAATCAATGGCATTTGGAAACAATTAGTCCAAGGACATGACTGACCTCAAGACCAGAAGAACTAAATGGTACTTGGCTACCAATGCCAACCACTTGGGAAGGGATCAAAACTGGAGATCTTGGACAGAGTGGGAGAAAAGATGTGGAACACAATTAAAAAACACAATAATGATCAGAATTCCTGGTCGGATGTAGTCTGGTAGGACCCCTAAGACTATAGCCCTGGGATACCCTTCAGGCCTGGGATAGGACTCACTCCTAAGGATTGACCCTCAGCCCCAAAGCATAAAGATTTATATGCACAAAATCTAACTCAGGGCAATGCACCCACCTACTCTACAGAGATGAATCCCTTAGAGCAATCAGCCATGAGGCACCAGAGGGGCAGCACTCACATGGAGGGAAAGCTGGACAGACAGGAGTGCATAGTTAAGAAGGGCACGGGGATGGGGTCGGGGTGTTTCCCCAGGGAAGGGAGGGAAGGAGAGTGGGCTAGGGTTGGGGATGGCCATCAGGGCATGAAATCAAATGTATATGAACTGTTGAATGTAAAACAAATTCTGCTCTGTAAGTTTGCACCCAAAGAACAATCAAAAAATTCAAAAAATGAAAGAGACCAGGGATGATAGCAAACAAAAAGAATACATATAACAAAAATTATAATATACCTTGTATGCATGTTATACTTAAAACACAAACAAAACTAGAGTTATAGAACACGTTTAAAGATTACACAGAAACATTTTAGAAATATAACTGCTTCTATCAACAATCACTATTACTCCTGTTCTAAAACAGAATCGTTAAACATACTATGAGCTTAAGTAATACACTATAGCCATAATAATCTCTCAATTTTAATGACAGTGTGACACAGAAAATGCACCCTCACCTTCCCATCAGCTGTCACAGCAAAGAGAGTCTGTTCCCCTCCAATTAGCTGCACTGGTCTGAGAGTTGCAAGGGCTTCACATGGAGTGGGAACTTTAACTTTGGCACCTTCAATGCCTCCAAGCTGCCCCCTATGGTTATGGCCCCATCCATAAATAGTGCCACTGCCACCAGCAGAAAGAGTCCAGTCATCTGGTCTCCTAGAACAAACATCAGGAAAACATTTGACATGGGAAAAGAACTGCAAGTGAAACACTTATCTGTTGCATATACCATCATTTTTTATTTCTAACATAGCAACCTGTTCATCCACTGCACAAGTTGTTCATCTTGTTCTCTTTTAAAAATATCATGGCTCTCATGGAGAACATCGAGGTTTTCACTGTCGGCCATTAACTCACGAATTTTCTTAGCCACCTAGGCAATAACATTATGAAATTATATATTAAACACTCATCTCACAAAAATAAAATGAGTAATATTAAGATAAGGAAAAATCCCTGCCCGAGAATAGGAGGTAATGTCTACATGAACATCATGATTTTATGGTTAGTAAGCAAAGAAATATGATTATATTAAATCTAAGATATTAAAAACTGTCTAAATAAGTATATTTGGTTTACATTACCAAAACTAAGCTTTTACTGAAGTACTCAGTGGCCATTTTATTATTATTATTATTCTTTTAAGTCTCGTTGTGGTGAAAATATACACAACACATTCACCAACATAACAACTTCCCCCATTTACAGCTCAGGGACACTGATGACATTTTTCATGTGATACCATTATTGCTATATTTTCCCAAAATATTCTACCACCATTATCATACCATGTATTATTCTTTATGGCATTCCTTGGCAAGACAAATGTCTCTGTTTCATAATATTGGAATCTTTTTACATTGTAGCTAAATAAAGAAATTGCTTCTGCATTCCCAAAATGATTCCCAAACAATGTGCACTACCTCCTCCAGAAATAGGTGGGGCAATGGTGTTCTTTTATCCAGGGCCACAGCAACACGTGAGGCCATGCAGTACTTTCTGAACCAAGCCCACTTGTGCGTCTCAGCACAGCAAGGGAGAGTGTCCAGTTCCAGGTCACAAGCAAGAGCTACCAGTACCTACAGCCACCAAAAATTAAAAACACAAGACACTTAAGATACAGCTTACCATGCCACTTGACATACACAGCATGCAAGACAAGGTGACCACCACGATAGCCATCATAGGTCTCTGTGGGTCCATGTTCAGAAGGCCTTGTTCCATACTGATGTCCGTGTGCTGTCATCAGTGATGAGAACTGCCCTATCCCATGCCTAGCAAGGCACCCAATAAACAAAGCCTCAGATCTGGTAGTAGCTACAGCACTTGTTGCCGAAGTCAACTAACAAGAAGATCTATTCATCACAGAGCATGCTAACACTTAGTTAAAGAATAAGGGCTTATGCCACACAATATATTTTCTTGAAATTTTTTATTTAAAATATTCAACTTCAGCAATACCGACAAATGCCATCAAGGTCTAAAGCAGGATGCCCTTCAGATGACACCTCTTGTGCTCCCTGCCAGCTGGCTCTACCACCACTTCAAATATAATTCAACAATAATAATGTTACCTTAAAAAATGGGCTGTGGAGCAGTTGTTTGCCACCTCTCACAATAGGATCTTCATATTCAAACTGCCTCTGCAAAGCTTCTGGAAGGCCTTTTACCAAAGCAGCTAGAGCACTGCCTGTAAAACTCTAAGAAAGGAACAGAAGAAGATTCTGTTCCAGGAATCCAAAGGTGGGATTTTGTGACAGCACATACTTGCCCTTGTTTGTAAGAGTCAGATGTTTTATATTATATACAGATACTAGATCTAGATTATAAATATGGATATTATATAAATATTGCATACAGGGAACATATACACACATATATGTGGTGGTACAGTGGTTAAGATATTTGGCTGCTAACTAGAAGGTTGGTAGTTCAAATGCACCAGCTGCTTTGTGGAAGAAAGATTGGGTAGTCTGCTTCTGTAAAGATTTACAGCCTTGAAAACCCAAAGGGGGTCTCTATGAGTGGGAATTGACTTGATGGCAGTGAATTCGGGAGATTTATATAGACAGATCAACACACATACACAGTAACTACCTTATCTAGAAAAATAAAGGTGGTGTGGTGTTAGGTATGTTGTAAAAGACCAATAAAGATAGCCCTATGTTCACTGCCACTTACATAAAAATTTTTCAAAAAGCAAAGTCCAGCATAAAAACAACTTGCAATGTGAAACAGTTTCCAACAGAAAAGAATGAAATTAAAAACATCTCAGCACAAAGCCTGAACTCAGTATATACAGTAACATAAGGAATTCTGGTCAAAGGATTTCTTATGCTTATATGAAATTTCCCAGCTTTTCTCAGTGATTTAGAGGTCCAAATTATTAAAGCAACATTTTATTCCCAAAAGTTTTAAGTCAAAAAAGTTAAATATAAAGTTCTATACCAAAGCTCTTGTTTCTCCATCATTATCACCAAGTAGCCTGTTTATGTTGATGGACTGCCCAAACTCGGTGGTGAGCAGCTTCCTCAGTCTTTGAAGGGCCCACATCCTATGACTGGCAGCTAAGATGAGCAGACAGAAAGTATCAGAAGCTTGAGCATATTTCCAATTAGTAAGACAGATATACTAATATGGTGCCATTTACCTAAAGCACTCAGTTGTGCACATGCTGCAAGGGAGGCTGCCAGACGAGGGATGATGCTCCTGTGAGAGGCAAAGTTGAGCCGAAAGTCAAGTAGACATGTCACCAGGTCCATGGATGGACAGGAGAGGATGCAGCGGTCAGAAAGGAGGTCTTTTGGGCCTGTGAACATATTTATGTAAATTTCTCCATGATTGACAAGATGAAAATGACAATCTTAATGCAATAGTTAAATATCCTACTAACAAGTGACTCTTTCATCCATTTGGAACGCAGCCAATCAAAGTGTGCCTTCATGGTACTGCCATTTCTAAGTCACATTAACTATGCACTTTAAACTCACATTTTAACTTTAAAGCAAACAGGAACAACTACCCCTTTTCACAGTGGAGAAGACAGAGAATTATCTAATAACTAGACAGTAGATGCAGATCTGTATGTGATTCAGATAGCTGACCCTCTGTCAGTGCTTACTCTTAATGCAATAAGAGAATGTGGACAATAAAGCACTAAATGGAAAATCTATGTGTGTCTACATTGCTAGGGTAATAATGGTCCTCAGCTAATCCCTTGGTTCCCTTTACCTGCAGCAGGCATGATGGGGTAGACAGTGAAGCGCCAGCCCCATCCATTCACAGATCCATCGCTAATGAACTTCCACTTCAACTCATCCCCCGGGATGCGCAGCTCACTAGACCAGTCAGACCACTCACGGCCTGGCACAGAGAAATGTACCCTGGGTTAGTTCCTCTAGTAACCTGAAATACAAACATTTCTTTGGATACAAAGTAAAATAGCTCCCACCACATCTAAAGGAGAGCAGGCTCCTCCAGTGCAAGTTCTTGTACATTTGACCTCACCTTGACACCCCTCTCTTGGTGTTCTGGTTACCTAGTGCCACTCTGACAAGAATGTATCACCAATGGGATGGCTTCAACAAACATTAGCTTATTCTCCAAAGTTTGAAGGCTTTAAGTCTTAGTCCAAAGTGCCAGGCTCTAGGGGCTGGGTGAAAGCCCCTTAACCTTAGGCTTCAGCTCTGCCTCCTGCTGCTGGCCCACTGAAACTAGAGGCTTTTCTTCAATCAGACAGTTGCTGGCTGCTGAAACTGACAAGCCCAAGGTTGACAGGTAAAAAGGCACAGTACTGATGTTAACAAACCACATGGTAGGCTGTTAATTCAAGTCCATTCAAAGTCGCAAGGTTGGCAGAACATGGCAGGCTGCTGAATAATGACACAGCTACATTACTTGCATGGTTCAAACGTGCCAAAAGCTAGAGACCATTCCCCAAGGCTGCTTCTTATATACAGGAAGCAGACCACATCCCTAATGCAACGATTCAGCTGCTCACAGTGGAGTCCACCACAGAGCTGATTACCAGTCTCATCATGGGGAATACTATATCCAGCTGTCCAGCCACTCAACCAGGCCCAGCCAAGTTGACACACAAACTTAACTACCACCCCTGGTGAATCCCATTCTAACATATGCCACCCCTTCCACAACCACTCCTTCATCCCTGGAGAGAGCACTGAGAAACTGAGGAAGCAATCCCCACCCTGACAGCAGTTCTCATCCACAGGGGAAGTGTGCAAGCCTACAGCAGAGCCAGCAATATCTAGGTTAGTAGTACTCTTGTGGAGAAGATCTGATCTGGTGGGAGTTACCCTGGCAACAGGAGCCCTGGCACTCTCCACTTCTGTGGATCGCCAGGGACATGGCAGCTCTGTACAGTCAGAAATAGCCCATCTTAGACGGAACTGAAGCTGGAGCAGAGAGCCTGGGACCTCAGTGGCTTGGCAAAGAGCTAGCTATACACAGCTTCTCTGAGGAGTATCAGGGTATAATGCTGAGGTCCCCTATCAAGACCAGGCTTTTGTTTTAGAAAAAATTTGACTACAGGGTGGGAATGGACTGGAGGAGCTTCCAGCAAAGAAAATGGTTACAACACTGACTGAAAACTATATAGACAGAAATTCTGTCACTCTGCCAGAAAAACTCTATGCTCATATGTGACCACAGCCACTTTTACCCAAAGCTTTAGACCCGGGGTTTAGAAAAATAACATTTAGTAAGCAAACTTTTTACTGGAACACAGCCATGTCTTTTCATTTAAAGGTCTAGGGCTGCTTTCATGCTACCCTGACAGAGGTGAGCAGTTGGGACAGAGACCATATGACTCAGAAAGCCTAAAATAGTTATTATCTGGCCCTCTACAGAAAAAATTTGCTGATCCTTAGTTGAGACAGGCCTAGAAATGATGTCTGCTGACTATTCCAATCCTCAATCTACCATATGTACAGAATAATTGTTCCAAGTGGAACCCAGTCCTCACTGTAACACTTAAAAAGCTTTGTCTTTTGTAAGCTTTAACATCACACAAGCCCCAGTATTCCCCCCAAAAGGCCTGAAAGCACCTTTTATAACTGTATGGTAGAGGCTGATCCACCCAGGCTGGCTGTGCTCCCAATGATAACCCTGCTCCCATCAAGTCACTCAGGACACTCACACTGTCCTATGTATGATGCAAATACCACTGGCATAATTATCTTATTGAATGTACTTATAAGTGGAAAAATAACTTATTGTACTTGACAGCTAAGCAGCAGACAGTATCCTCCTTAAGGTTAATGTAAGAACAAACAGATGTATTTTATCCATGAGTGCTCATGGCCCAGCTTCTGATCGCAAGCAGACTGTGTACTGCTTATCCCTCTCCCATCACCTGATCGCACTGAGACGATCCTGTTGACACTGTCCATAATAGTGAGAGGGTCGTGGCGCCGCTCTGTGGAGCACTGTCTATCAAATTCCACCCTGAGTCCTTCTGCACCTAGAGGACAAATGAGCACAGAACATGGTGACTATGCCCACCAGAACACGGAAGATGCCAAAGATCACCCCTCACCAAGGGGAAGATGTGAGACTAAAACTTTGTTTGCAACTAACAAAAAGCATACAATCAGGTAGAACTGACCTAAAGAATAAGAACCTAAGAGTACTTGCACCTCCACCTCCTGCCCTACTACACTACACACTCAGGATTATTCCTGCTAACTGCATTAGCAGTTTACTTTGTGTTCTCATTTCTACGTAAATTTTCTTCTTGCAACCCCAGTTTATGTTAATGGCATAAGAATAACTCAGAAAAGGAGTGTGAGAATGGTTGTATAACTCAAAGAACTATCACTGGATCACACATGTAAAAAGTGTTGAATTGGTGTATATTTTGCTGCATATATTCTCAACAACAAAAATTAAAAAAAAAAAAAAAAAGACAAGGTATTTGAGAGAGAAGTAACCAACAATAAATAAAAAAGAAGGACGAATGTAAATGGTAAACATGGAGAAAGTGGGAAGAGTTCTGTTACACTGTGGTAACGGCAATCAATATCATGAAACACAATGTATTTGTTGAATGGAAAACCAATTTGCTTTGTAAACTTACACCCAAATCACTATAAAAGTTAAAAAAATAAAAAGAATTCCTTTCTGTTCTCAAAATTATTATATACATGTTTCACACACATGTATATAAGTATGCATATATATATATACACATATATATATAATTATGTAATATACTTTTATATTAACACCCACTGCAGGGGAATCAATTTCGACTCACAGCAACTCTATAAGGATAGGGCTATTGTTGTTAGGTGCCACTGAGTCGGTTTTGACTCATAGCAACTGTATGCACAACAGAACAAAACACTTCCCAGCCTTGAGCCATGTTCACAATTACTAACATTCTTGAACTCACTGTTGTAACTACTGTGTCAATCCATCTCATTGAGGGTCTTCATCTTTATCGCTGACCCTCTACCAAGCATGGTATCTTTCTCCACGGATTGGTCTATTTCTGACAACAAGACTAAAGTATGTAAGAAACGAAGTCTAGCCATTCTTGCATCTAAGGAGCATTCACACTCTACTTCCTCCAAGACAAATATGTTCATTCTTCTGGCAGTCCGTGGCACACGCAATATTCTTCGCCAACGTCATGGTTCAAATGCATCAGTTCGTCTGTGCTCTTCCTTATCCATTCTCCAACTCTCACATGCATACGAGGCTACTGAAAATACCATGGCTTTGGTCAAATGCATCTTAAGTCTTCATAGTGACATCTTTGCTTTTTAACACTTTATAAAGGTCATTTTGCTAATTTGCGCAACACAATACATTGATTTCTTGACTGCTGCTCCATATGCAATGACTGTAGATCCACGTAAAATGAAATCCTTGACAACTTCAATATTTTCTCTATTCATCATGATGTTGCTTATAGGTCCAGCTGTAAGGATTTTATGTTGAGGTACACTCGACACTGAAGTCTTTGATGTACATCATTAAGTGCTTTAAGTCTTCCTCAGTTTCAGCAAGCAAGGCTGTATCCTATGCATATTACAGGTTGTTATGGGTCTTCTCCAATCCTAATGCCACATGCTTCTTCGTAAAATCCAGCTGCTCTGATTACATGCCCAGCATTCAGAAGGAATAAGTACGGTAAAAGGATATATCCCTGACACACACCATTCCTGACTGTCAATCAAGCAGTACCCCCTTGCTCCTTTCGAATGACTCTCTTGCTCCTTGTACAGGTTCCTTAAGAGCACAGTTAAGTTTTGAGGAATTCTTATTCTTTGTAATGTTATCCATAATTTGTTGTGATCTACACATTCCTATGTCTTTGTTAGTCAATAAAATACAAGTAAACATCTTTCTGGTATTCTTTCCTTCCAAGGAAGATCCATCTGACATTAGCAATGATATCCCTCATTCCATGTCCTATTCTGAGGATGGCACTTCCCTGTCAATGTACTGCTATAACCCTTTATGAATTATTTTCAGCAAAATTTTCCTTGAGTGTAATAATGATATTATTTCATAATGTCCATGTTTTGTTGGACTACCTTTCTTTACAATGGGCATAAAAATCAGAATCTTAGAATCAGTTGGCAAAGTAGCTGTCTTCTGAATTCCCTAGATATAAATGAGTAAACGCCTCTAATGCTGCACCCACTTGTTGACTTATCTAAATGGATATTCCATCAATTCCTGGAGCACTGTTTTTCACCAATGCATTCAATCAACTTGGATGTCTTGCTGCAATACTATTACTTCTTGATCACATGCTACCTGCTGAAATAGCTGAACACTGACAAAGCATTTTTGGTCAATGATTCTGTGTATTCCTTCCATCTTCCTTTGGTGTTTCCTGAATCATTCAATATATTGCCCATAAAATCCTTCAATACTTCTGCAATTAGAGGCTCCAATTTGTCTTTAATTATTTCAGCTTGAGAAATGCCATGTATGTTTATTCTTTCCTTTTCATTTTCTAATTCCAAGTCTTTGCACATTTCTTTATTAATACTTTACTTTGTCTTCATGAGCCAACCTTTGAAATCTTCTGTTTAGATTTCATCATTTCTTCCATTCACTTTAGCAGCTCTTTCTTCTCATTTTGAGTTATGCCATATCAGGAAATAAAGGTTTCCCTAAGCTTTACTCCACCCCAAATCATCAAGGTCGACTGTATTTTGAGGTTTCAGTGCCATCCAACCTGATGTGTTGTTGTTATTGTTGTTGTTATGTGCCATTGAGTTGGACCGACTCATAGCGACCCCTCCTTGGGTTGCTGAGGCAGTATCACTATGGAAGCACATTGCCCAACCTCCGAGGAGTGGCTGATGGGTTTGAACTGCCAGCCTTCTGGTTAGCAGTCAAGTGCCTTAGGCACTATGCTACCAGAGCTCCTTTACTGTACCAGACAATGTTTCCTTGGTATTCATTCATGAGGTTTTTAGTGGCCAACTTTGTTTCAGAAGTGCACTTGGTCATGTTCTTGTTCCTAGTCTAAAAGCTCCATGGACCTGCCCACAATGGGTGACCCTGATGGTATCTGAATAACTGATGGCTTAGCTTCCAACATTATAGCAACGTGCAAACCACTATGATAAACTGACAGACAAGTGGTGGATAGACAGGGTAGAAGACTAAATCATGAATTCCATCTTTAAAAGAAAAAAACAAATAATAAAAAAGCATCTAACACATGGATAATTATCGACTGACTATTCAGGAAGAAGAAAAATAAAGCAAAGTGAGAGAACAACGTCTATAAACTATAATCCAAGAATATTTACTGAAAGAGCAACACACACATAATAAAAATGCACACCCCATATTTAAGTATCACTGAGAATGACCATCACAATAATCAGCATTAATTACAAGCATTACCTGTGCATTAGAGATTAATTTCTAAAGCATTTGGTTTGTGGAAGGCTGTGGTCTACAGTGGAAGCCGTAACCCCATTTTGAGCCTTGGCATAAGGTTTAAGCCATTTGAGTTGTGTCAGAGAAATGGTATCTTGATACCAAGTGGAGTCTTCACCAACTCCTGAAATATCTGGTTAAAGGTGTGTAAATCACCATCAGCAATGTTTTTATGATTACTACTTTGAGTAAGTAGAGGCGTCATTCAGAGTATTAACAAGGGGAGTTCTGGTCTGGGCAGCAAACTAAGAATAGGTTCTGCTTGCTGGGGAAATTATGAGCAACCACACTGAAGGCTGATGACTAGAAAGGTGTGACATTCCCCTTATTACTCTTGTACCTCACACTGTGTTGATGAACACAGGTGTGGTCATCCACCACATCCATCTACCTTCTATATTGGCAAGAATTCCATGCCTGTCCAGTCTATGCCTTGACAGAACCTGGGTACCCTGCCGCTGACCCAGGTTTTGTTTCTTTGTTTTTAAATTATTGTTTCTTCCTCTTTTTTTCTTCTCTATCCTTTCCCTGAAACTCTTTTTTCTTTCAGTTTTTCCCATCCCCATTTTTTTCTTTTTCCAGTCTTCTCATTTTTTCTTTATTATTATTTTTCTCTTTATTGTTCTTTTTTAAAGTATTTTTTACATTTTCTTTTCCTTTAAAGCCTTTTCTCTCTTTTTTTTTTCATTGCTATTTGTTTACTTGTTTTTTTCCTTCTTGGTTTTAAATTTTTGTTGCTTCTGTTTTGGTCCAACTGAGTGGGAGACATGAACTATGCCCATTTGACCCAGCTATGCCTACACCTCTTGCAGACCTACCCACTGGGTGAGGGCCACCACTTGCTTCTGCACCAACTGACTACTAATAAACAGCAGCAAATACCAGCCCAACTCAGCCTAAACTGCTCTTCACAAACAGCTAACAAAGATATGTACAAACATTCTGATTCTCTATCACACCCACTAGGGGAGAGATGATGATGCCTAAGTGCTGCCAACCAGCAAATAGAGGAGCACAGCAGCCCTGCTCACACAAATATATCAAAATAAAATAGTGAAAAAAAATAAAATATTGGGCAAGTCATACCAACATACAAACACCAATTAAATATAAATATAGTGACATCACAATGTCTCAGAGACAACTAACCACCCCAGCCCACATAAAGAAGCAAGATAAAGCAGTACAAACAAGGCACCAGGATACAGACCCAGACTACCTCCCTGATGAAGAATCAGCATTGGAACGCCATGATAAGAAATTCAAAAGAATTATATTCAGGTACCTTCAACACATTAAGAGACAGATCAATGAAAACACTGACAAAATTAAGAGAAACAAAGAAAAAAACCTCTAGAACAATTTAGGAAAACAACACAAGAACAAACTGACAGAATAACCAAAAAACAGTAGTGATACAAAGACAATAAATAGGAGTCAAGAAGATTAATACTAAGATTTCAGAAACAGGTAATACAGTGAATGGGCAAAGAAGGAGAAGCGAATCAATGGAAGACAGAATTAGTAAGACTGAAGACAAATACCTCA